GCGCTCTCCGTCCGGGGGCAGCCGGAGCCGCCGCGGATCCGAGCCGCGGGACGAGAGCTTGAGCCGGGTAACGACCTCCGAAGACGCGGCCCCGGTTTCCCTTTCTTTGCTCCGCCTGGCGCCCTTGGAAACGGCCGCCTGCCGGCCTGCCCTCTCTCCTGAAACGGAGCCTCCGCTGCCCCTTCGGGAGACGCCCCCCTCGCCCGGCTAGATCTGTGTAGATTCTGTAAACACAGCCTTGGCGCTGTAAGGGTCCCCGCCGCCTCCCCCCAAACTCGCCCTTTTGGCCAATGGTCAGGGGGGGCAAGATAACGCTACGGTTGCGTGACCTGCGTTTGTGCAGGTGATCCTTCAAAGAGGCGCTAGAGGTGTACCACCAGCCAGAAGAACAGCATGGACTATTCAACCGTATATGTAGTATGAATGTCAGGAAACCGCATGAACCGGAATCTTTATAGTAGTTCTTAACTCTTAGATAAGAAAATATTTGCCCCTGTTGTAAGAGCTTTCGTGGCTAGGGATGAGGTGACCTGCCTATGGAAAGCTTTACAGATACTTTCATATAGGTGCCCTACCCAAATGTTAACGGTACCTGCAAGGCTACAATGGCCTTTTTTGTTTAGATTAAGATGATTAAAAACAGAGACAGGAATAAAGTAATTTAGCAGTATTGCACCTGAGGCAAGGATGTGTGTGTCCATGAAACCGGTGGCATTCAGTTTAGGATGAATTTGCAGACTTGTTTTGCTATATGGTTGGCACTTAATACATTATAAACTGCTAGAACTTTGGTTAGTTGGCACTAGTTGTACCTGTCCAACCAATATTTTTCACTGTTGCTACCAGCACCCTGAGATTGTAGTTGCTACTTTAACTGCTTATGAGGACCTCAGTATTTGGAAGCAGGGAGTTGAGTTTTTCATTCCTCGATATTTTCCCCCTTCTAAAACAGTAAAGCTCCCTCTACCCCTGCAAAAAAAAAAAAAAAGAACAAAAAACCCCACATCCAAAACATATTTTTTGAGCCAGGCAGTTTGGGATTTAAGGTTTTTAGAACCTTCCCCCCTTATATATTTATGTATAATTAAGCATTGGCACTTCTTCCACACAAGCTTGCTACTGTGATGGCAAGAGCCACATTTATATTGTTGAAGATTTGGTTTGTAGAAATTTGTCTATTATAAAGTTGCACAGCATTTGGAACGCAGGAAGCCATACTACATTGAGATTTGTCTCTTTTGCTCAGATGAATTGGTGTTGGTACTTGGTTGTTAATTTATCATTTTTAAATTAAAAAAAATATTTTCTGAACTCAGTAGTTTCTGTATCCTGGTTTCTTATAGATAGTCTTGCTTACATGTTATTCAATGTGTTCAGTTCTGGGATTTTCAGTTCTTATTATCTTAAGATGATGAAAACATAAGATAATAAAATAATAAGGTTTATTTTACAAGAAATTCTGCATCATGTTGCTTTTCCAGTTAGAAGTTCTTTGAACAATACTGTCATTCTTTGCCAGGTGCATAATAATAAGAACAAAGGTTCATTTAGTCAAATACACTATTTTCCCCAGTGGCCAGATGCATGCCAACTGGATACCCAGAAGCAGGGCAGGAAGGCAGTAGGAGTTCCCTGCTGCTACACCCCAGCAGTGGGTTTTTAATAGCATGTTGCATCTGTTTGCATGTTGCTCTGATCCTATGTTCAGCTTTTCTGATGCAGTGGTTAGAGTATTGGACTAGCATACCCACTCACCTGGAAGCTTGCTGAGTGACCTTGCTCTCTCTCAGCTTAACCTGCCTTGCACAGCAGTGGTTGTGACGATAGAATGGAGGAGAGGAAAATGATGATGTAAGCTCTCTCCTATGTATTTTTCTTATTTCTTTTTACAGCCATCTTTGACAATCATACATCTTGCGATGATGAATTCCACAATGATGTGCTTCTTGAAATATATTTTTGGTTTATCCTGCCCCTGCAACCAATCAATTTCATTCTGCATTCTTAGTTATTGGCATGATATAATAATAAACATTTACCATGTTCTCTCTTAGTTGAGTCTCTCTTTGGAAGTTAGGATTTTTGTCCCAGAGGGCATGGTTTTAAACTTACATTTGTGTTGGCTGCACTCAGACATGATGACAAAACTGCCCATGATGGGAGCATGAATGTAGCTTCTTGTGCTCACATACTTTCCTTCTCCTCTTGTGCACTTAATAGCACAAGGAAGTGGCTGGGGAGCACTGGATCAAGCTGGTTCTTTGTGTATCCAGGCACCTGAGAAAACGGGGGGGGGGGTTCCTCCCAGAGGTTAGGATTCTAAACTTTGATTTAATCTCAGTTTGTGGTGAACAAAGAAACCTGTAGAGCAAGCCTGTAGTACTGTTGGGTTGCTTTGAATGAGATTTATCATACACAACAAATATAATTTATTTTACAGTTATGCAGAGACACTGAATATTCTAAAAACAATATTTTGTAAGATGGGATTACTTTTTTCTCTTGTTGCAGAGACGCTCTCCAGGCCGGCGCTCTCGCTCTCCAGGTCGACGCTCTCCAAGTCGGCACTCTGAATCATCAGTAGAACAGAGCTTGCGGATCACAGTTGGCAATGACCACTATGGCATTGACACCCCAGAACAAAGGAGACTGTCTGATAGACTAGGCTCACCAGTTGATAGCCTAAGTGATGTGGAAAGGTGGGGTTCTCTAACAATCCGTCTTTCAGAATTACTTCTTGGTCCTCATCTAGTGGTGGTAGTAGAAAGTGCTGCCAGGTCGCAGGCGACTTATGGCAACCCCATAGAGTTTTCAAGGCAAGAGATGTTGAGAGGTGGTTTGCCATTGCCTTCCTCTGCATAACAACCCTAGACTTCCTTGGTGGTATCCCATCCAAGTACTAACCAGGGCAGACCCTGCTTAACTTCCGAGATAAGAGATGAATTTAGCCTGGGCCATCCAGGTTATATAAATAACCATAGGTTTTGCTGTGGGAGTGAAAATGCTGTGCTTTATTGGACTTGGGCTATATTTCCAGAATCCTGACTCCAGATTTTTAGCTGTCTTCCATTTTGGGTTCAAACTGATACCCCAGATAGACATTTATCAAGTATATATTTTATCTTAAGAAATTAAAATTCCCGGTTGAGAAGGATGATAACACAAGTACAGTAATAAAAAAGTTGGAAGCCTTTTACTGTAGAAAAAGGCTATCAGAGGTGTCAAACCCATTTGTCATGAGGGCCAGATCTGACATAAATGTCAGTTTGTATCTCACTTGGCAAAATCTCAGATTAAAAGACATCTGTTCGGTTTTTATTGTGGATATTATTGCTGTTTTTGCTTCAATTGGAGTACTGTCTCTGAAGTGTCCTATCTGTGACTTGTTTTGCACAGCCATACATTTTGTGCTGTTCTGATTTGTAGCAAGCTTAATTTAACCTATATCTTAAAAGTAAACCCAGAAAATATTTTGCAAAACAGGATTAAACTGCAGAGTACAAAACAAGCTTCAGATAACGCAGAAGGTAGCAGCTTGTAATAAATCCCTAAATCTCCCTTTTGCAGCCAGTGATCTCTTACTAGAATCTGAACTTCATTTAAAAACAATTCATTGGATTGGAGTAATAAATTTGAATAATAAATGTAAAATTTCTCTTGCACTTCTCAGTACCAGACTGGGTAAGTCTCTTATGCAGAAATGTGTGTTCAGAAGCCATATTGGCAGCACAGTACTCTAAGTATTTCAGTCAGTTGTGAAGAATAGTTTCTTTCTTCGAGTTTGTCCGAACAATCAGATATCACATAAACAGCTAATGTAAAATGTTTTATTTTTATCTTTGGGTTGTAGAAAATATAGTTTAGAGTCAGCTAGCTCAGTATAATGTGTAAGCCCTCATACAAGCAAGGTTGACAAGTGGCAAAAATAAACTTTCTGAGATTCCAAGGAGTGTGGCTAAGCATTTCAGTGAGAAGGGAGCTGTTAGAAACCAGGCAAATAGTCAAAATGTGCAGTGAGGAAGTAGAAATGCTGAGACCTGGTTCTACACACCTTACTCCATCCATATATAGAACATTTAGCATGAATTGAGGGCTGCATGTGTGTGTTCATGGTGAGAAGGTCCTACCTAGACATCTTGTCTGTCTTTTGTGCCCTGGGTGAATCACAGGAGCAGGAACTTCTCACATATGACATGATGTGCATAATCACACTAATTTATTTATTTATTTATTAGATTTTTATCCCGCCGAAGCGGCTCAGGGCGGCTTACAACAATTAAAAACAGTAAAAATCCATACAGTACATCTAAAAACAATCAATAACACCAATATAAATTATTAACAGTGAAATTACAATGAGAGCAGTACAGTTTTCACATGGCGGCCACCCATATAAAGTGCTAGAATGATTGATCTGGGCTGTTAAACGCTTGGCGGAACAGCTCAGTCTTTACCGCTCTGCGGAATTGGTGGAGATCCCGCAGAGCGCGGATGTCAGTTGGGAGCTGATTCCACCATACTGGTGCAGCTGGGGAAAGCGCCCTGGTTCTTGTAGCTGTTAACTTGGCGTCCCTAGGGCCAGGGGGGACTAAACGTTTCTGCAGCTCAGATCTCAGTGCTCTTGGGGGAACAACGGGGAAAGGTGGTCCCGCAGGTAGACAGGCCCCAGACCATAAAGGGCTTTAAAGGTCATAACCAGCACCTTGAAGCGTATCTGGAACGCTATTGGCAGCCAGTGCAGTGTCCTCAGCACAGGTTGGATGTGCTCCCTCCCCGGGAGACCCATTAACAACCTGGCCGCGGTGTTCTGCACCAGCTGCAGCTTCCGAAGTTGCCCCAAGGGCAGCCCCATGTAGAGAGCATTGCAGTAATCCAACCTCGAGGTGACCATAGCATGGATCACAGATGCCAGATCGTTGCGTTCGAGGAAGGGGACCAACTACCTAATCAGCCTAAACATATGGAGGTTGCTTTTGCTCCTCACTGGGGCATGCAAAGTGGGAAATATGATGACATTAAGTGGAGTATTCCTTGAGCTAGTATAGTGATAGGATTTAAGGACAGCTGTTGAAGATTTTGAAAAATACATTTGACCAGTGATATTGCACATGTGCCCCTTGTGTACAAAAGCTGGTAGGAGTTGGATGAAAAATTCAAAATTCAATTCTGCTTTCCCTTGCTGAGCCCTTTTTTAATTTTTAACTACAGTAGCACTGTGTTGAATTCTCCCTCTCATTTTATCTCCAGTGGATGCTGATCTCAAAAGCAAGTATTTAGAGGATGTGGAACCAAAACCATTTGTTTTGAAAAATATTCTCAGTGCTTGTTTGAAACAAGAATAGGAAACACCTTTTTGCAAATGTCCTGTTTGTTGACCAAAGTTTACCATCTCTTTAGTACTTGGGTATATGCACAGGTGCAGTAAATCAATTTAAGATTTAGATCATTCAGACATTTTGTTTTTGTGATCCCTTTTTATCAGTGTTTTGTCTGCAGATCTGCTTAGATGGAAGCAGATTTCTGTTTGTTGGAATGTAAATGCACATGAGAAACCTATATTTAAGAGCAGATTGAATAATATGTACTTGGTAGCATTACTGTATGTTTTCTCCTTGAATTCTGCAGTGGTTTACTTTCACAGCAAGGGCTGTATCTGACTATCTGCATTCAGTACAGTATGTCTAGAAGAAGCAGATCACATGGTGGTTATTTCACTATCCAAAACAATTCCCCCCCCCCCTCAAGGGAATTGTTTCTACAGAGAAAGCACCTCCACTTACTTTCTTTTGCTGATACTTTCATTTCTTGCTTAGAAATATAAAATGAGAAGTGAGAAGGAGACAGGAAATGCAACAATACTAGGTTAAATTTAAGGGCAGGGTAGACATACCTTTATAGGCTTGTTTAAAAAGTTGTTGAAGTTGCTCTGACGCTAATTATAATACTGTTGTAAAAGAATTTTAATATACAACACTTCTAATTGATAATCTGATCTTGAGATCCCATTTCAGCTGTAGCAGTACAAAGCGTGGTACAAGCTGCTATAGGTAGCTGAACCAAAGACCTGTGTTAATGCAATGGGCCATAGCCAATGTTCCCTCTAAGCTATGGAGCCCTGTGAGCAAAAATTCTACTTTGTAAGCTGTGAGCAGGAGATTTGGCTGCTGCATGAATTAGTTGTTCTGGAGCCCTCCTTCCTGAGCTAAGACACAAATGTGTGAGCCAGAGGCTAAAAAACTGTGAGCTAGCTCACAATAACTCAGCTTAGAGGGAACACTGGCCATAGCCATGCAGTTGAACCCCACTTACTGTTTTCCCTCACAGCTTCTTGTGGTTAAAAAAAGATGAATAATAGTGCCAAATTTGGAGACTTTTCACTGGCTGTTTAGGTGCCACTTGAAGAACTGTTATGTCCAGTCTTTCTGCATCGTCTACAGGCCCCTTCCCAAATGCTGCCCCCAAAGCTGCTTTTGGTGATCAGGGGACCCTCAGGAACAAACTGGCGTTCAATTGTCCATTATCCACAAAAGTCACAGAAGTGCCTGATCCTGATCTTTTGTGTACATTATAAAAATAATTGGAAGAAGTTTGAATCTAAATAGGAGTGGGTGTGCATTTATAATGCCAGCACGTAGGTGGAGTGTGATAATGTAAATGTTACATTTTTGTAGTTATATGATCCTGTCCAATGGGCTCATCAGGGACTTCTGTGTGAAAGCATTGTTCATGTAAGATGCTTGAGTGTGTCTGACATTATGAATGGGAGGGAAGTAGTGCTGAGAGCATCCATTTGGACTTTTGGACTTTGAGGCCTTATAAAAAGGTTTTCTCGTTTCAAATGGTTAATAGTGCTTAGTAAAAAGTCTATATTTTGGTGCAATTTTAGAATTTTGGATGTTGGATCTGTGCTGACTGTTAAGTGCTTCTTGCAGGCCACGTACCCTTATGTGCTCCAAGAATTTACTCTTGGATTTTGCAGCTTATTCACCAAAGTGTCCTGTGCCAATGAATAATGTGTTTCTGAGGATGGGCGGGTGGATTATTGCTTAGTATGCAAAATCCCCATAACCAGCCATGTTGGGTTCAAAGCAAGAAGTATGGCTGAGTTTTGGATAGTCGGCAGGTTATTTTATGGTAGCCTGAGCTCCCAAGTTTCTGACTTTGTTTTAACCTGTCTCTCTCATCAGGGATGACCTGGCTGAAGGTCCAATATTTAGCAGAGGCCTTTCACGTCCTCAAAGCCTTGAGCAATATTCCTCTCATGAGGACAGTCCTCCTAGTCCTTACACTATGAGACACGATGAGGACTATCGCAGTAGGGAAGTTTTTCTTCACCAATCACCCTATAGCATGAACTATGACCATCTGCCGGATATATCAAGAGAACCCGACAGGGATGGTGAATTATTTAGGAAGTCATATCAATCAGAGGAGAGAGGGAGAGAGTCAAAGCGCCTTCGATATGACAGAGAGGACAGACTGCTTGCTGTGAACGTGGAGCATCAGAGTTTCTTGCCAGGAACACGGAATTACCGTAAAAGAAGTCTCAGTAGAAGCCCAAGCCCAGCAGATGAAGACTTCAGGGAGCTTGAAAGTGCTAGGAGAAAAAGAGAAGAGGAGGAGCTGAGCAGAAGCCCTAGTCAAGATCTTCCTGGCAGTGGCTATGTGATTCCTGGCTTGACTAAACCTGTGCAGTCCTCTGAACCTCGTTACCTTTATAGACCAGATGAAGCACCAGCAATGCCCAAAAAATCAATCCTGAAGAAACGAGTGGATGATTCTTCTGTGCAGGTTTGACCCATCTCCTCTCCACTGCATGTTAAACTGTCAGTCACACTTTGCTGCTTCTTATCTAATCTTTAGTAGTAGTAATCAATTACTCTGCTTTTTGTCCTTTTTCTTTATGATGGAACAAGTACCCTCAAAGTACTATTTCATCCAGGCTTCGCTTTGTTGTAGAACTGGTTTAGTGTGGGTCATTGTCTAATTAGCATCTTGGTTCCCACTTGATTTGGAATTTACCTTGGAGCAAAACAAATCCGATTTTTCCTGCTGGACCCATGTGTAGTTCAGCTTATGCAACATGTCACTTCAAGCATGCTAATTCTCACATGTCAAGGTGTTAGAAAAGCTTAGCACATTACTAAATCTGGGTGGCAGACTTTGTGTTTTTCAAGTTGATACTTTCTGTAGGATGACCACTGTTTATGTTGGCGCTGGATCTCTGGATTTAATGCTTGGTTGAAATGAAAATGAAAGCTATGGTTTACTGGTACATGAATGAGCCTGGGGAGAGGAGGAATCCTCTGGCCCATGTGCTCTTTCTTCCTTCTGCATGTGGTGTGATAGTTATACTTACTTTCATCTAAGTCAAACCATTGTTTGTCATTATATTCAAATCTCAGGCTGTTGTTCTTGCTTGTCCCAGAGCTGTTTCCACAGACTGAATTTTCCCCAGGTAGAACATGCCCCCACGTTTGAGGGAGCTTCCACAAGAGATGCACTTTCTGAACATGAGGTGTGGAGCTCTTGGGACTTTTCCATTTAAGCTGGAACAAGGAGGAAACATGTAGATGCCATCCCCATGCACCGCTATCCTGCTTGCTGCCGCTTCCACAGTGGAGAATCTTTTCCCATCCCTGTGTGGAAACAGCTCAGGGTTTCAAACTGTGGTGCAATCCTAATCTATACAGGAAACTGCAAGCCACAGCTTGTAGTTCAGATATAATGGCTGTCACAAAACCCCCTCCCCCATTTTCTTCCCTTGCTGTGGGCTGACTGAAGGTGAACGAGAGGCTTTGGCTTATGGTGTTTTCTAGCTTCACAAAAGCTAGGTGTAGGAACCTAACCCTTTGGTACTCTGCCAGCAAACAGAGTCCTTCTTTGTCCCCCCACCCTTCCTTTCCCCTAGTGCTCTGGTCTGCTAGAAGTTGGTTTGTGTAGAAGAGCAAAGACATATGGACAGAATTCTCCCTCTCATTCTCCTCCCATCCCTCAGTCAGCTCCACTCCTTCAATGCCTGGCCAGATCCTGGCGTTCTGCACTGTAGGCAACATCAGGGGATGTAAAAGCAGCCACTTCACACCAAAGGATCTTTAAGCATAAATCCAAACGTAAGTGAAGTACAGATGAATGAGGAATAATCAGAAGATACGTTGCAGACAGGTAGAAAGTAACCAAAAGTGAATAACTAGCTAAACTTTACTTGTAGAGTGAGCTCTCAGCATTCCTCTCCTAGGAATGGCTGCAGGAATAGAATTAAGTACTTGAACACAGACTGACTTCCTTGGTGCATTGTGTCAGACGAGGCTAACAATTTTATCCCTTTTTCTGCAGTCTGGGATTGCCTTTTTGGAACTAGTCATACTTTGGGGGACAGGCTAAAAGCTTCCTCCTAAGCCTGCTTTGGCCAGTCACCCCCAATGTTTGGATAATTGCTTTTAGTGCTCCAAGATGGGAAATTAGAATCAATCCATCTTGGCTCCCTGGGCAACTTTACTCAGTGGTGAGATTTGAGCCCCAGACTCCCTTCAGTTTCTAGCTGATGTGTCAACGTGTCCTTGTCCCTTTTTTTCCTGGGAGTAACTTAAAGCTTTTTATTGCCCAGTTTGGTGTAGTGATTAAGTGCGTGGACTCTACTCTGGGAGAACCAGGTTTGATTCCCCACTCCTTCACTTGCTGGATGACCTTGGGCAAGCCATAGTTCTGGCACAGCTGTTCTTGAAAAAGAGCAGTTTCTGTCAGAGCTCTCTCAGCCCCACCTAATTCACAGGGTGTCTGTTGTGGGGAGGGGAAGGGAAAGGCATTTGTAAGCCGCTCTTGAGATTCCCTTCGGTAATGAAGGGCAGGGTATAAATCCAATCCCCTACTCCCCACTCCCCCCGCCACTGCCTCCTCCTCCTCCTCCTCCTTCTGTTTCTCACAAGGTATATTTCCTTGTCTTGTTACATGTCTGCCAAAGAAGGTCGTGCCTCAGTCACAAAGCTGCAAACTGTGCATGTTGAACTACACAGAAACAGACACAATTTCTGCTAAGACCATGAACTGGTGTCTATAACTTTCTTTATGCAGTTCTAAGAGCTACAGCTTTGCAGAATGCTTGCTTTTGAACATTTTAGTGCAAAAATTGTGTGTGCATGCTTCGGGAGGAAGGGTTTGTCATCCCCCCCCCCCATTCTTGCTTGGATCAGTGCAGCACTTTGATGGGCAGAAGGGCTTTGCCATAGAATATGACTTTCTCAACTCCATTGCAGCTTGAAGCTCCCCCTGCAGCTGCTTCTGCCCCTAGGAAAAACATTTCAGGGAGCATTTTGGGTGGGAGCAGAGGAAGCTATGCGTTTTCATAGCTGTTGTGTTCAGTGTCTTTGCTGCCATTTGCTGTTTTTGCCCACATTGCATCATCTCATATACTATATCATAGAATGTATATATTGTGGCACTAAATAGTTGGCTATGCAGAGATGTCACTGAGAGTAGACAGCCCTCACATTGCTCTCCCTCTGAAAGAGAGAGAGGAATAGGGGAGGCATGGATGTTGTCAAGGTAACTAACAATTCCCCTTCATTTTCTTCCTGATTCCTGCTAATTTTCTAAAATGATGGCTGTAATTCCTTAATATTAAAGTGTTGCCTTTTATGTGGACCGAATGTTTGTTAGCCTCCATATGCAATGTAGAAAGAAATGACTTTTTTTCTTCTTTTTTTAGCCTGAAGCGTTTTCTAGCAGTTCTGGCTCTGTCAAAGAACTCCCTCTTCATTCACATCCTCCTCCTTTGCCCCAGCGTAGCAGCACTACTCCTTTTTCATCTGAAGTGGAAAATTTCCTCAGACGTTTCAACAAAAATGCGGTTGCAGAGTCTGCAAACAAGGACTCTCAAGCCAGTGTCCATGACTGGACACCGATTTCTGGCCTACAGCAAAATGCTTTCCCCTCTGAACAGAATCTTGGGAGTTTTTTGCGACAAAAGGACTATCAGGAGTCTGCAGCGTGGTCTGCAGACCGGCAAGGTGACTTCCTACTTCCTCATGAAAGGGCCAGCCAGGATGGGAGTGGCTTTTCACGCATTCTGGGAATGATGGCAGATTCTACTAGTGCCCAAGAGAAGAGAAGGCGCAGCTTTCCTGATATTGATGATGAAGAGAAATTTCTTTATGGTGATGATGAGGATGACTCTAACATCAACTCACCTTCTACTGAAACCCTAACAGTGAGTGGGAAAGAACCTGTAAGCCAGAAACCAAGTTCCCCATCTCCTCCTACTCAGTCTGTAAAACCAGACACTTCGGAAGGGTCCGGAGTAGAGTATGAGAAGATCCATGATTTACTCAAAACTATTGGTCTTGACATTGGGGTGGCTGAAATTGGCAAGCTGGCTGCCCGAACACAGGAACGGCTCCATGGGAAAAAAACATCGCGTTCTCCTGATCGTCGTTCAGCAGGTTCTTGTAAACCAGACTCTAGGGAGATGCGCCGCAGTCGAAGCAATACCCATTCTCCAGAATCAAACCAGAAGTGCTCTTTGTCACCTTCTGGTTCTTTTTCTTCATCTAAAGAGCTGTCCTCTGTTTCAGAATTGGAGCACTCTAAATGCAAAACACAAGGGCATAATAATTCTTCTGGCACGCCAGAGCGGTCTGTTCCCCCAGTATCTCTAATCCCATCTGCACCACCTTTTCTTCCTAATTTACCTCCTACTCCCAACCCTATGTCCCAATATTCAGTATCACGCTTTTCTCCATTCACTGCAACTCAGCTGCCCCAAAACTATCCAACCCCCACAATGGCCCCTCCTGGCTATGATGCTTATGGACACTATATGGCATATGCAGCGACTGGCTGGCCCATGTATGCTCCTTCTCAGCAGTCTGATCCTGCAATTCAAGACGTACATGGGCTTGTCTCGCTGACAGTGCCCCCAAATCCTACACGGCCGAACCTCAGAGTTATTGAGACAGTTTCCACAGGCAAGGGGACTCCTGAAATCAAGAGAGATGAGTCTGTGCTTGTGCAAATTCCCACCACTCCTACTTATTCCAGATTACTCCCTCATCTATCTCAGTCTTCTCTCAGAGGTCCTACGGAAAGAATGTCTGATGAAAAAAATCGGGCTTCTCAGAAGCAAAAGGTGAGTTTCTTTAATTTGGATTGATATTTGCTGGAAACACTAAATCTAGTAGTGCAATTGGAAGGGACAGGAGTGCTGAATATCTGTGTGTATTTTTCAATTTAAATCACTTCCCCCCTGTTCTGAGAAATCAGCCTGTTTTGTTTGCATCAGTGTTATTGCTGGTGAGTTGTGGATAACTGGTTTGTCTGCTTATATGTGTACTTCTGAGTACCTGTTGCACATCATTTCCTCAGCTCACATTAATACACACCACTAGCGGAAAAATTCATGGTTTAGGATTGTGTTCCGTGATGTAGAATTGCACTATGAATACAGGCATTCATAATTTTCTATGTTCATCTGTATTTTGCATTAGACAATGGCTTGGATCAAAGTCCCCCTTTGGTGAAGTCACATCTGCATGTTCAAGTGGGGCAGTTTTCACCAATTCCTCCTTCCCACTGTGAAGGGTGCCTCATTGCACTCTACTCTGTTCCAAAAGTTCCCTGACTTGTTGGATTTTAGTAGAAAAGGCAGGGGGAGGAGGAAAGATATATGAGCAGAGCTGGTCCTTTGGATCCAACCTCTAGTTTTTTGGAATATGATGCACCTCTTATGACAGGCTGTTTTGCTCTTTTTGGAGTAATGTGGAATAAATTTATGAACAGATTTCAAAGGGCATGATATTTAAACTTTGCAGAAAGCTTTATTTTTCTTGTTTGTGTCAAACAGCATTTAGGTACAAAATGAAGCAGGTCACAATCTTGTAAGATATACTAAACTAGTGAAGCTTAGTTTGAGAGGCATATATTTCATTTCCTTTATATATTCTGTTGCATGCCTGTGCATTTCTTCAGGAATGAAGAGAAACATTTAATACATGAAGTGGTAAAATTCTAGATGTATTGGAAAAATCAGAAACCGAGTTCACACTAAAGAATGCTTAAAATAATTTTCTTATGTTATAGTAGATTATGGCCAGAATTCATTACAGAATTGTGGTCCCTTAAACCTGTTGGTTTCAGTGGTCTTAGGTGTGTTTTAATTCTGTAATGGATTATGGTTTGCCTCTGAATAGATGCCTTTCCTTTTTTTGATTATAAAATATTTCAGGATTCTATATAGTTTATAACAGTTCCAGGGGAAGATCATTTAACATTGAAGGACTTCTTATACTTCTGTTTTAATTGAAAAATCAACACAGATACAGCACAGAAGAAATTAGTTGCTTTCTTGGATCAGAAATTACATCAAATAAGAGCCCAAGCAATGATTATTGGGGTGACTGGGAGAAGATACCTTGGGAATCGGAACAGTGGCTTTTACAGAGTTGCATTAGCTGTGGTCAGTGAAGAGGGTGTTTTAATATCTTTTTCTTCACACACTTTTTAGGTAATAGAGGAAAGAGAGAAACTGAAGGTTGAACAGGAATCACGACAGAAGAAACTGCACTACCTGAGGACTGAGTTGGATAGACTTTCTAAACAGCAAGGTACTGCCTTTTTCTCATTGTTTCCTTTTTTTGCCTGGGATGTTCTCTAGTGGAGATATTAGGTATTGCATAATCTGCTGGATGGAGTGGGATTATTTTTACGCCCTTCCTGTCCTGGACATTCCAGGATAGTATTCTAAACAGTGACTTAAAAAGGATAGTTCCTACACAAATGTGCTACCAGTTCTTTAGTCAGTGACACACACACAGCTTCTGGTATTTGGCACTGGCAAAAGGGTATCTTTAATAATTAACATGATTTTCTTGTGCTTCCTACTCTGCCCTGTTGTCTGGCTCAGGGGAGATGTTACGGAAGAAACGTAGGGAGAAGGACGGCCATAAAGACCCCCTGCTAGTGGAAGTAAATCGACTACAGGAGAACATTGTGAAGGAAATCACTCAGCTGCAGATAATGACTGAAACAGCGGAGAAGAAACAGTCTGAGCTTGACAAGGTAGCTCAGATCCTTGGGATTAACATTTTTGAGAAATCCCGGAAACCATCTGCAGAAAGTAAAGATTCCACAGAGAAAAACAAGTCAGAGACTACAAGAAGTCAGGAGAAAACTTCCAGCTCAAACAAGGTAAAATTCTAGGTATCGGTGTTAACAGATGATCTCGCTGTAGAATAAAGGGTCTTCTACTGCCACCACTTCTTAGCATAATTAAACCCTATATTTCATTCCTGTCAGCTGTGCTTTATAGGCACAGATCATTGTGGGAGCACTTTGTTCTTTAAAGGAGTTCTCTGTGTTTTAAGGGATGACTGATCTTGGAATCATTTGTTTGAATTCTATGGTACCATTTCAAAGCAAATTTGTAGATTAGATGTCAAGTAGTTTCTAAGGGACTATGAGTGACTCACTTAGAATTTTGTACCGAGTTTGTATTTTTTTGTATGACTTTTTTGTGTGGTTCAGTTTTGGAAATGTCTTACATAAGATGAATAGTAGAAATTACTGAAAACTGGACACCCATAATATAAACTTTGGAATTTTTGTCCCTCCTTCCAAAGAAAGTACATAATAATATAAATCTGTGTTATCGGTGAAGTGTAGAATGTGATATATTCCAGTCTTGTTGTTTTGTTTGTCTTCTGTGTCTCATACAATACTATAATATCCTTTTCACTTGGAATTCTCTGCTTTAGAATGTAGGTGTTGAATTTTCATATGCACCTGCAAAGACCTGCAAGTCTAGGATTATTTCACTTTCCAGTAAATAGGGAAAAAAATAAAGAGAAGGAGTTGTGGCATTTTCTGGTTTGATGGGAAGATTTTGGTGTAAAATGAGACAAACTTCTTATGTCATTTGTTACTGATCCTAGCGTGTGGTGCTATGCTGTCTACAGACTCAAAGAAAACATAAAACTACAGAGAAAAGTGCAGCGGTGATCTGTATTGCTGAAAACTAAAAAGCTAAGAGAGCAGCAGTATGCTCACATGTTGTCATATAAATGGTCTGTTATGTTACTGTTAGCTAGTGCTTCCTTAAAGTGAGAGATTATGAAAAAAAGGCTGGAGGTGTGACGTTTTTAATATTACCTAGAAGACTTTTATCCTAAGTCATGGTTTCTTAAACCATAGCAAATTTAGGAAGATGGTTTAGCTGGTGGAATTTACAATCCTTTAATTATGGCCTCAGAAAACCTAACAGAAAAGTAGAGGAAGGGATGGGCTTGTCGTGGCATTCTTTGCAGTTCTCAAAGAAGGAATCCCAAAGGCATGTACACCTACAGCATAAATAAACATAGAGGTTATTTTCACCTGCGACTGGCTTTCGAGCAAAGGAACCTTTACCTTTCAGCACTGTTGGCACAGAGCTCCATGGTATATCAACTGATATATGTGGTACTTGCATCAGTGTCTGTTGACCTAGTCAAATCTTTATCATGGCTTGGAAGAGGCTGAAGAGCACTGAATGATTTGTGAGACTGTAGGGAAGCTCACCTTCAACAATGAAAACGCTTCTAAGGGGATGTGTTCTGCTGCAGGTTACTTGCACCATACACTTGAAACCTTTACAGAACCATAAATGCAAACAATATAACACAGTCTTGTTTCTTAGATATGCAAAATGTAAAGTTCTAGCCTATTTAGCCATATTTCTAATAATTAAAGATTTGGTACTTGATTCTTCAGCCACATGCTTTCTTCTGGTGCAGTTTGGACCCCAACATATTTCACTTTTGTCAGGACAAAAGCCATTCTGTGCCATTTACATAATCATTAAACAGTGGGTTCTTTTAAATACATCTTTTAAACATATTCTCTGAGAATTTTTCACACTATTGCAAAGTTATGGGAACTCTACATATTCCTAGTGCAATGGTTGAAGTTACCTAGTGCATGCACTCACATGCATACATATACACTCTTACTTTCATGTACTCCAAGAGATGTACATTTCATGCATTACTTGCCTATCCGCCATCTAGCCAACGTACCTGAGCCTGAATGGAAGCTCTTTCCTGCTGTCTGAACAACATCTGAATCGGCAGTGCTAGCTCACTGAAATGGAATTATCCTGGGCATTGGCAAGCAGGTGATATATAGTTACATATATATTTGGTGTGGTCTCTCCTAGAGGCTGGTTCTGAGGCACTGATTGTCATTCTGTGTCTTAGAAATGTTTCCTTTTGTTCAATTTAGGATTCAAAACCAACTATTGACAAGCCCAGGGGTAGGAGTCCCAAGCCTACAGAATCATGTTCACAGACATCCAAACAGCAATTCCAGTTGGGCAATATTTATGACTATTATGACACAGGAAACCATTGGTGCAAGGATTGCAATACCATCTGTGGGACCATGTTTGATTTCTTCACACACATGCATAATAAGAAGCATAGGCAGGTATGTGTCCAGCCATCAATTTCCCATTAAGCAGTTTTTATTTACTGTTTAAAGTTGTAAACTGTACTTTAGAGGAGGCAAAGAACACTGTGCCGGTTGAGTTTTAATGCACAGAGTTGTAAAGTTTGGACTGTTGATCATCCAATGAACTTGTTTACTTATTTATTAATTAAAGCATTTTTATCTAGCTTGTTGAATGGGAATGTTGGGGTTTTTTGCTTCTGATCTTTTGATGTGATCCATACCTTACTGCTTCATTACTTCATGTCTGGCCAACTATTTCTTTATTACAACTTCATTTTTGTATAGCGCTGTGAGAGGCAGTGTGCTGCCTTGCTTTGTACATTCAGTGGCAGAGATATGTTGCAGCAAAAACAAAGCAGAGTCTTTTGGCACTATATTATTGAGCAATACTAGTTTTTAAAGTAATATAAGAACATAAGAAGAGCCTGCTGAATCAGACCAGTGGTCCATCTAGTACAGCGTCCTGTTTGACACTGTAGCCAACCAGTTATTCTGGAGGGCCAACAACAGGGCATAGAGGCTGCGGCTCTTCCCTGCTGCTGGTATTCAGAGGGCGGAATATGGAGGGCTCCCTTCAGTCACCACGGCTAGTAACCATGGATGGTACCAAAAGATTCTGGTTTTGCTTGGTAAGTTGTTCGTGTTCTAAAAATATTTCCATTGGAATATATTGCAATGAGAATAGAAATAAAATACTTGTTTATATCCTTGCTCTGCTTTGGTTTCTCCATGTTCTGAGTGGCTTCAGAACATTGGCAGGAAAACTTAATGTTTTTAATTAATTAGTCTGTACATTTCTGTTACTCTTCAAATAGACCCTGGACCCATATAATAGACCATGGGCTTCCAAGACTCAGACTGAAACAAAGCAGGATCCCATGAAACGCATTGACAAAATACCTCTTCCTGCAAAAGGTATGTTGTTTAAACAGTCTTGTTTCTGTACTCCTGCTGCTGAATTGGGTAGGGATTGAAAAGCAGTCACTCATATTTAACTGCATGCAATGTTGTAATAACACTGGGCAGGAAACTAGAGTAGGCCTCCATATTAACAAACTATTGTTAACAATAATCAGTTTCAGTCTCAAGATTCTCAAATGAAATTCACAGCTAAATAGTTCAGTTTCTGTGGTATTATTTAGATCGTGTTGCTTTTTGCTATAAGCTGCAAAACCCTTTGTGCTGGGTTATAACTACCATGAGTGAAGGTATTCACGTGAATGGGATTTTCATGCTCCCCACTACTGCAGCCTAATGAGCCCCCAGAAATTTTGTGAACAGTGTGGTCAGCAAAGTGCAGATCTGCAGTGAGGAGCAGGGAATTGGCAAAAATCTCCACCAGCAGAAGTGTCATTGTGCTTGCGGAAGTACTGCTCCACTGATGCAAGAACATCTTTGTATCCCTTATCTCTTTTTGTGGTGATTAATTACCTTTTGGGGGCATTTCAGGTTCTGAATTTCTAATCCCAGTCACCGGCTATTACTGCCATCTTTGCCATGAATTTTTTGGTGACCAGATATCTGCAGAACAACATGTGAAAAGTCATCCACATAATGAGAAATATAAGGTCAGTATCCAGCCTATGAGCTCTCATACTTCAGAGTGTATCATAATCTTTTAAAGCTTATTTTAAAAGTATTTTCTATGGAAATACTTTAGTTGTATATAACTGGATTAATATTGCTGACATCAGCTGTATTATCATATTGGGATATTCTCAGTTTGTGTTACTGGAGATGTGACGGTCTGGGGAAAACCAACTTTTTCCCCTAATGATTTTATTGAATTGGAGAAATAGGAAATGTTGGGGAGCACTGGAAAAAACTCCTTTGAAACATTTTCTCTTTTGGCATGAGTGCAGTGTTCTTTAAAAACAAAATTTTACTCACACCAGACATGTAATATGGACATTTTTAACTGAGTAAACTACAGCAGTAAAGAATGGGGATGTTGATGTGTACTGATGACATATAAGACACTTAAGATCTTTTTGGATTTGCGTGCTTTGTATGCTCACAGCAGGAGTCTCCGATGTGGTGGCCTAGTGCCTACCAAGCATTTTTAGAAAGTGAGTGGGCCAGGCAGGGCTTTTGCCCAACAGGGCTTCTGACTGGCCAGTGGAGATCTAATTGCCTTGGCAGATTTTTTAAAAAGTTGCTTCAGCAGCACAAGGATCTTCACTATGTAACTGAAGGTATATACACAATTGAAAACAATAACAACAACAACATGTGCATTTTAAAAAGCATCCCGTTAAATAGATCTTTTGCCTGAAATGATGTAGGGATAGTATTAGTTATGACATTTTGTGGCTGACTTTGCCTCTCATGGCAGCCAGTTTGTGGTTGCACCCACCACCTGGTATCAGAATTCCAGATTTGCCTGCAGGCTCAAAAAGGTTGGGGACCCCTGGTCTACAGTATGTACTTCTCTATTTAGAAGGTGTTGCCATCTTCATAAGAGGTGGATATAGGGCCTTTGCTGCTTGTGCATTTTTATTATTTATTTATTTTATTAAAACATATCCCATCTTTTTCCATGGTTCAAGGCAGCCTACAGTACATAAAGAACCTAACTTCCTGTGGTGTCTTCTACAACTAAGATACATATGCACAAGTAGCAGTAGGGTACTGCAGTTTGCAACTGTCTCTGTGGCACAGGGTATGGTCACAACCTTCATTGTAGAAAACTAATGCTGCACACTTAAGGACACTTACTGGAGACTAGGTCCCATTGAACAGTGGGATTGATTTCTGAGTGTACACGCTTAGGGTAGCAGTGCACATCATGTATATTTTAAATCACATAAATACACCAAGTAGTATAATTGTATGTATTAATCACTATAAATTATGCATTTTATGATGTTAAAGTGGTAAAATAAGTTTAGGATAGATAAGAAAGTATTACACATGTTTCAGTTTTTCCCAACATTTCTATTTTTAAAAACCTACAAAAATGTGTTTTCCCTGTATCAGCATTTTTTGGGAGCTTTTACATCTTTAATTGAAACAACACATGATCTGAAATATGGGTTTTATTCCGGGGTTATAATGATTTCCTAGGGTTGATAATCTGAATCCTATGAAAAACATCCCTATTTCTTGAGAGGTAGAAATAATTGGGGGTGGGAAGAAACAGCCAGTCCTCTTCCACTAATACAGTTCCATATTAAGTAATAGTGCTGAGATTTTTCTTTCTCTTCTTTTCTCAGAAATATGTGGATGAGAATCCACTCTATGAAGAAAGGAGAAACCTGGACCGTCAAGCAGGATTGTCTGTGATTCAAGAAACAGAACGTAGACTGAAACGGAAACAGTGTGAAAAACATAAAGATGATAGAGATGAAAAGAATGCAAAAGTGGCGAGAAAAGAGGAATCAAACCCTACCAAAGAATTAGAAGAGAGTAATGAAAATGAGATTAGTAAAAGGAAAGAAGATTCTGATGGCAAGAAATTTGGAATAAAGCTTAAATTGAAGAAGGATGACAAAGAGGATGAGAAAAAGGAAGGGAAGAAAGAGGAATCCCAAAAGGACTCAAGACAGTCATCTTTTGGAAAGTTTAGCTGGAGGAAAACTGAAAAAGAGGATAAAAATCCAGGCAAAGATGTAGCTTCCCCTAAGGAGGAATGTATTGAGGAAGGCAAAGATAAAGAAAGCAAGTCTCAATCTGGAAAATCAAATGCAAAGCCTATTGCAATTAAGTTGTCTGGGAAAACTGTTATTCCACACACTAGCCCATGGACACCAGTTGTTTCAACTTCATCACAAGCAAAAATCCGGCCAAATTTACCAGTTCCTGTCATGGTTCTCAGGAAGTCTGCAAGTACAACAGTCAGCAAGCCAGCACCATTAAATACATTCTTGTCTATAAAATCTTCAGGTGCCACCACCAAGCCACTCCCTGTTGTAAAAGAGGGTAATCCAGAACTTGTTCTACCTCCAGATATTATTTCAAAAGCATTTGGGGGAGAAGTAGTCATTTTAAAGGGCTCCCAGGAGAATGTAAAGTTACCAGAACAGGCAGGGACTCAGGAACAAGAGGCTGAAAGTATGACACAGGCTGTGGAACAGACAAAGGCTCTAGACAATGTAAAGGCAAGTATGGAAAAGGTACAGGAGCAAGCAATGCTGGTGGCAAAGGCACAAGCAAAAGCACGAGAGCTTGCAAATATGGCAAAAGAGCAAGAGGTCGCAAGACTGCCAAAAATGCCAGAACAACCTCACGTTTTTGAGCGACCACATCGTCGCCCTCTGCTCCCACTGCCACCGCGACCACCACTGTCAATGTTACCACCACGGCCATCACCACTGCTGTTTCCACCTCCACCCATGCCACCACCAAAACAGACACCATTCATTCTGGCAGATGACATGGCTCCAGGTGTATCTGAGGATGATAAAAATATACTGGCAATGCCTATGTGCCCACATCCTTTACCTCCACCAACTTTTAAAGACCATGCTAAAAAAATGGAGAAAAAGAACACATGCCTGGCTGCAGGTAATGCTAAAGATCTTTATGATATTTTTTACAACAGTGGAAGAAGTCCAGCTGATAAGCCTGCAAGTTCTATAGTTTCAGATAAAGGAAAATTAAATCTGCTGGAGAAAGAGAGAAGTACAGACACCGTGGCAGATTCTAAACCAAATATCCATTCTTCCATACAAGAAACACTGCAGAATGTAGACAGTTCGTCTGATGTTAATAAAATCTCTGTATCTGCAGGAACCCCAGAAACTAAAGTGAAAGCAGAGAAGGTTTGGGCAGCTTCTGAAGAAAATTTTGAAATTGCAACTAGTGTTGAAAGGGAATCACAGGAATACTCTTTGCTAGATTTACAAAATAAACCAAAACATAAGGAAACAGCACAGTCTAATGATCGTCAGTCAAGTGCTTCTCTTTCCCTTCAGAATGAGGTAGAAATGGGAGCCGCTGCTTCATCAGAACTCAGTAACAAATCATCTGAGGTTGGGAGAGCAGAAATAACTGTACAGATGCTGAATAGAAGTGTTCTTCCTTCTGACGTAGTTAACGAGAAACCTGCAGAGATTGAGTCTGCAGAGTTAGCCATGCAGTCATCATCAGAAGAGAAAGCTCTTCTTTTGCAAGTTGTTAGCAAGAAACCAAAACAGTTTGAAACATCAGAATTCACCTTATCATTGCCCAAAACCACTCATCCTCTGGAAGAAGTTAACAAGAATGCATCAGAGCTACAGACAGCAGTGTTTATTTCGCCTGATAATGAATTAACCACATCACCAGAAGATAAAGCTCTTCCTTTGCAAGATGTTAGCAAAAAAGCTGCAGAGCTTGAGACTGCAGAGTTTACCCCCCCAGACAGCAATATGCCTCCCGTTCAGGAAGAGGTTAGCAGGAATTCATCAGAGCTTCAGACTGCAGTGTTTATGACTTCTGATAACGAAGCAGCCACACCATTGTCAGAAGATAAAGCTCTTTCTTTGCAAGTTGTTAGCAAGAAACCTGTAGAGCTTGAGACTGCAGAATTCACCATGGTGTTGCCAATAAGCAGTACTCCTCCTCTAGAAGAAGTTAGCCGGAATTCATCAGAGCTTCAGAGAACAGTGTTTATTTCGCCTGATAATGAATTAACCACATCATCGGAAGCTCTTCCTTTGCAAGATGTTAGCAAAAAACCTGTAGAGCTTGAGACTGCAGAGTTTACCCCCCCAGACAGCAATATGCCTCCCGTTCAGGAAGAGGTTAGCAGGAATTCATCAGAGCTTCAGACTGCAGTGTTTATGACTTCTGATAACGAAGCAGCCACACCATTGTCAGAAGATAAAGCTCTTTCTTTGCAAGTTGTTAGCAAGAAACCTGTAGAGCTTGAGACTGCAGAATTCACCATGGTGTTGCCAATAAGCAGTACTCCTCTGGAAAAAGTTAGCAGGAATTCATCAGAGCTTCAGAGAACAGTATTTATTTCTCCTGATAATGAATTAACCACATCATCAGAAGATAAAGCTCTTCCTTCGCAAGATTTTAGCAAGGAACCCATAGAGCTTAAAACTGCAGAGTTTACCATGGGCTCTCCAGAAAGCAGTATACCTCCTATTCAGGAAGAAGTTAGCAGGAATTCATCAGAGTTTCAGAAAGTGGTGTCTATATCTTCAACTAATGAATTAGCCACGTTGTCAGAAGATAAAGCTCTTTCTTTGCAAGATGTTAGCAAGAAACCCATAGAGCTTGAGACTGCAGAATTCACCATGATATTGCCAATAAGCAGTACTCCACTTCTGGAAGAAGTTAGCCGGAATTCATCAGAGCTTCAAAAAGTAGTGTCTATATCTTCAACTAATGAATTAGCCACATTGTCAGAAGATAAAGGTCATTTTTTGCAAGATGTTAGCAAGAAACCTGTAGAGTTTGAGACTGCAGAGTTCACCATGGTGTTGCCAATAAGCAGTACTCCTCTTCTGGAAGAAGTTAGCAAGAATTCATCTTTAACCAGTGAATTAGCCACATTGTCAGAAGATAAAGCTCTTTCTTTGCAAGATGTTAGCAAGAAACCTGTAGAGCTTGAGACTCAAGAGTTCACCATGACATTGCCAACAAGCAGTACTCCTCTTCTGGAAGAAATTAACAATTCATCAGGGCTTCAGACAGCAGTGTTTATGTCTTCTGATAATGAAGCAACCATACAGTTGTCAGAAGATAAAGCTCTTCTTTTGCAAGATGTGGGCAAGAAAATGACAGAGTTTGAGACTGCAGCGTTGGCTATGACATCAGAAAGAAGTTTTCCTCCATTTGAAATCATTAGCAAGAATGCTTCAGAGCTTCAGACAGCAGAGTTTAAATTTTCTGACAGTAAGGATTCAGTTGCACAGTTGTCAAGAGACAGTGTTCCTCCTTTAGACCATGTTAGCAAGAAGCCATCAGAGTTTGAAAAAATAGAACTAGCCATGCAGTTGCCAGAAAGTAATGGTGCTCCTTTAGAAGAAGTTAGCAACAATACATTACATCTTGAGACAGCTGCATTTAAAACTCTTGATAATAAAGAGTTAGCTACACCATTGTCAGAAAATGAGGCTGACCATAGTAAGGAAACCCCAGCAATGATAGATGTTGGCATGACAAGTGATGAGGACATCAGTCAGAAACCACCAGATCAGCAGAAAACGGAGATTCACTGTGAGATTGAGAGCAATTTGGAGATGGAAACAGATGTGTCTATTTTAGCTAAGAGAGATGTAGAGAGGAAACATGTAGACTTAGCTGGGTGTCAGTCTGAAATTAATCAGGGAGATCCAGAGTCTCAGTTACTAGAAATGCAAGTTGAAACCCACAAGGGAAAAGGGCCTATTCTGACAGAAGAGAGACAAATGAATGATAGTTCTGAACTGATGGTTTCTCCTTGGGTTTCAAACCTGTGTTCTCAGAGTCAGCTGGTTTGGGAGCCAGCAGACACATCAGAAGTAAATGAAGAAAATCCTCAAGTAGCTGCGGCAGGTCAGGATAGTTTTCGAGAATCACCAGTGGATTTTAAACTTGGAAATGAATCGGCATTCATTGAAGAAAGTCCTCAAGTTTCGGGAGCCCAGAATGTGGATCCAGAACTGAAAACTTTAAATAAAAGTGAATCAGACACTTTCCATACTAGCAGTAAGGAAGAGGGGTTGTTGGCTAACTCCCAACAAAAAGCTGATGAGGACTTTGATGTAGTCCCTGAATCAGGAGAAATGCCAGTTGAGTGCCTGGTTAATGTAGCAATGACAATTAGCACACGAAAGGAACACGAAACTAGCCAGCAGTCACTGAGTTATGAAACCCTCCAGGTACAGGGAACTGAAGATCTGGGCAGCATCCCTTCTTCAAATGATGAAGAACTTCGTTCTGGTGTAGAATGTATATATGTAAAAGATGATACACAAGGGCCTTCCAAATCTACTATGGAATTAGGTGGGGAGAAAGGTTCCATAACAAAAGAGAGCTTCAGCAGGGTTCAGCCAGTGACTGTCCAAGAGCCATTGGATGGTCTCCCAACAGAATTCAGTGTTGGGCATCTGGGAGAGGAAGCCCTTTCTTTCACAGGCATGAACACAGAGGTCTTAAATACCGCAGCAGCTGGTGACTTTGACTTGCACACAACTTACTCAGAACTTAGCTTTGATCAATCTGGAACCTTTACTCTGAATTTAAATGTGGAACATGAGAGAGATTCTCCAAAATCTAACGAAATAAAGCCTACTGATCCTTCCAGACTGAAGCCGCGTCTGGAGTTAGAAACCATTGATTTTAGTTTGGGGGATATTGATGTGGACCGTGAACACCTGGATATCCTGCCACCTGAAATTCTAAATGAGGATTCTGTCGAGAGCCCCAAATTAGAAACTATTGCACCAATTTCTTTAGAGTCCAGCAAAACTATTGAGTTGGGCATTAACCAGCCAGGGGTTGAACCAGAAGTGATTGATTTTGCTGCGCTAACCTCTGGTGAGCAAGATGATAAAATTTGTTCCTTGGTTTCTGATGTAGCTGACCCACACATGGTATCTTCTGTACCAAATGATGGCACTGCAGAAACAGACCTACCACTCTTCAAAATACAGTGCATGCTGCCAATTTCTGAAGTTGTTCTGAAAACAGGTAGTAAAAGCAGCACTTCTGATATGCTGTCACTGAGTTGTGGTGGCGAAAGTTTACAAAGCCAAGCAGCTGAGTGTATGGAACCCTGTCTTCCAAATCCAGAAGAAATATCTTTAGAAGTGGGGGGCTCAGGTGACAGTGAATTGTATGTCATCAAGAATGAGATGCACACACTTTCAAAGGAGTTAACAAAGACAGAAGAGGTAAAAAGTAATGATAGCATGTGTGGGGTTAACAGTAAATCGGCTTCAGCAGCAACCAAAAGCCCTGCCGAGGATCTGGTAAGTTCAGGCAAAATTTAATTTCAGTGCTTGAGCAGCTATTTCTTGAGTTTTGTAAATACTGTTTTAACATGTTGGACATTCTGCACCTCGCAGTAGATATTAGCTAAAGCGTAAAACTTCTTTTTTTGCCTCAGTAAGTAGATTGCATACTGTATTGGATTGTATAAATTGTTTTATTGTCAACATGTTACCATTTAGTTACTATTTCTTGCCACTGAAATTGAATTTCACATTTATAGTGTGTGTGTTTGGGCTCTGGTTCATTTGGGGTTTGCTTTTTTGCTGTTTTGTTTGTACTTTCCTTTGATTTTTAATGGTTTCTGATTTACACAGCTTCTGTAAGTAACATTCCAGTGCAACACTGACAAGCGCAAGGACAGCTGTTCGGCACTTGAGGGAAGTGGAGACTCTTGCTGATACATTTAAGCTGAAAGTTTCATTTTGAAATGTTATGCGTGTTTTGTTGCACAAAATGTATGAAGAGATTGTTCTTCATTTTTCCATGTCTTTTGACTTGTAATTACATTGTTGAATTGTTCTCTGTAACCAAGACTGTAATGCTATATTGTATAAAACCTTCTGTGGATTCCATCTCACTGAACAAAGGAGAAAAAAAATCTGCCGTCTTTTGGAGAAGAAAACTATTTGGTAAGGTTGTGGCCTGACAACTGGACTCTGAATATTGAGGTCACTTAAATGATTTGAAATCACATTTATTTTCTTTGTATTGTATACAGTAACTGTTTGTGTTAAATCATTTAGCAGTGCCCAACCCAGAAGAAATAGAAGAACTGAACTTTGGATTCACTTCATGTACCAGACATTACATGCCTGAATCATCCCCTGAGCCACAAAATACTGTTGTGTGAAGGTTTCCACTTATACAGCTTCTCAAGAGAAATGTAGTAAATGTTTGCTTGGATATATGAAAAGGGTTTTTATCTGTAAATCTAAAATAAACCTATGATGATCAAAGCCATTTAAATTTTTCCTGTGTTTTTCAATTCAGACACCTTTGTAGTCAGTTGTCTAATCCTAAAAGTGAGGATAGAAAATGCAGACCAATGATAAAATTGCCCTTCAGTTAACTTCCTATAAAATGAGTTTGTCACACCTCCATTCCCAACTGCTTCCAGTTGGAGTAATCAGGCCCTGTTATGCAGCTTTAGGAGAAAATAGTGGAAATGTGTGGGTTAGAAATGGAGAATTTATGTCCCTTTCAATAAAACAGCCCCTGGCAATTTGTAAGGCTTTTGGTTTCTTTTCCATTGAGTTTTAAGTACCCAAGGTTCTTGAAGACTACGGGTAAAGGAAATACATTGAGGGTGTAGATATGGGAGAAGAACTTTGTCTGCTTAAAATTAAATATATCTGTCAACTGAGCACATAACTTTCACACATCTGAAGAACTGGGCTCTAATCCAGAAAATGGTAAGATAAATCTAAATTGTCACAAATTTGGTTAAAATGGAAGTGTCACAGCTGACTCATGAGCAACTGCACTGAACATAAATTTTGATGACAGATGCAAATCATGCTTATCATAATTCAGCTGATGCTGCTACTGGCTTTAGTGGCAGTAGCCACCCAACCAATTACTGCGTAACATAAAGGCAGAGGTGTGACGAGTTTATTGACTATATGGCATCCAGGGTTTGTTTGCCACCATCCAGTCAGTTTTGCTGATGCAGATCTATATTCATACTTGTTAGAAGCTAATTATACTTGGTAGGCAGCGTCATAGAACATGTACCCACTTATTAATCACAAGATACCAATGTATACTGGTACAAATCACTTTGCTTGCAGCTGCATCCATCTGTGTGTGCAGATTTTATTGAAGAACTAGGTTTAGTAAATGCTCCTTTTCGTCAGTACTCACAAGAAAATTTAGAAGGTGCAGCAAAATTATTTTACTTTTATCCTACCCTGTCTCTGTAGAGTTTCAGGACCAGAGTATATGGTCTCTTCCAGCTCCCCCATTTTATCCTTACAGTAACCTGATGAGATAAATTAGGGTGAATTTTAGTGACTAGAATAAGGCCACCCATTAGCTTCATGACGGCCCAGGAGGGTTGAATTCTGGTTTTCCCAGCATACTTTTGGCATTATATCCATTTTACCACATGTCCTTTTTTGGAATTGATTTGTATTTTATTTCCACAGCTAGCTTTTCTCACAAGTATGGGTTAGAAGTCCTACCTCAAACATGAACGTGCTTTGAAAGAGTAAAGGAATGACCCATTACCACTTTTACCAATGTTAGGGATATATCCAAGGCATTTGAAGTGTTTTATTTGAAAGTGAACTGAGTTCAGATTGGTCTTCATGAAGAAGAAAAGATGTACATAATTGCATTTGTATTTTTATTTGCATTTATATATTTGTAATTAGACGTATGGGTGTAACTGAATAAACGGAATGGTAAATTATGAGATATGTAATTTGTTTTAAGTGATCTTGGGAGTTTGTTCTGAAAGAGAAAATGGCTTATTGGTAACTGCAAGAACAAAACAAGTAGGTATTGATGCCTGTTTAAGTGTTATTTTGCGAAAAGGCTTCTGAGTCTTGCTAATTTGCTGCTATATTTGCTTCATAAATATCTTTTATTATTTATTTGATTTATATCCCGCCCTCCCCAGCAAGCAGGCTCAGGACAGGTCACAACACATCAATAAAATACATAGAATACATAGAATTAAAACATTAAAAACAAAATAATCCAGATTAACAAATAACTTTTCTACTCAGGTCCAAGATGGCAGCTTTGAGATTGTGTTAGCCTCTTTGGTCTAGGGTACTGCTATATGGTTTAAGATGACAACTACCTGTGCAGTTCAAGATCATATTAACCTAAAAACCATACTGTGGAAATTTACTACAGTTTAGTTACACACAAATTGCATTCTGAAATTGTGCTGCTCTATAAAGATCACATTCCAGGACAGATACTGTGGATGTGGACAGAGACAGCTTGGAACACTGGATCATATTTGTTTTGTCCATGGTATGATCAATATAGAGCAAAATGGCTGGATCCAATCCTGAGGAATTTAGTATCTGTTTGATAGAACTAAGACTACCATTTTCATAAAGGATGAGGATCTGAAGATTACTTTAGCCATGGCAGAATTCTTCTCAGTGGTGATTGCATGGAAGGAAAAGATAAACTTGTGAAGGCATTAAAAATTGTAAAATTAATCTCAAATTTAGAAGTAAAGTAGAATTTAAAATACATAGTTATATATGCATATAGTAGTAATGAATAAAAATTAGTGTGGCCCGACTTGAGACCTTGTCAAATGAGTTGACCATTAAAGGATTTTGAGATTCTTAAACTGGCAAATCCCACATTCATGTATTCTGGTTAGATAAATACTGAGTTGCCATCTCCAGAGAGTACTGCAACAACCAACTGGAGTTATTTTCATATAGAGAACAAAGTTACTGTCAAGAAACAGTAGTATACCTTTTGTAATGGCATAGATGGTTGGAACATTTTTCTTAAATGGCTATGGTTTGCTTATTTTTCTTGGATTGTTTTTAACATTACAGGTATTGAATGGAAGACCTCTTAAATCTTCCATAATTCTTTCCATAATACAGTTGTCCTGTGTATTCCAGCCCCCAAATAAAGTTCAATAGGCTGAATTGAAAGAGAATATGTTGTAAGGTAGTAGATAGGTGTTGTACAGTTAGACTCTCTGGTTGTAGAACGCTAAAGAAATAGTGTTTTATTTCAAATTTCTATACCTAGCTAAAGAATTGAACCATGTAAGAAAAGTGAATTTTGTTTCTTCAGAAAGGGTCATTCTGAAGATGTCAAATCTCCAGCTCCTAAATATATTCTTCTGTTGTCATGATCTCATAAGTCATCTGATAGGGCACTGCTCTACAGTCAAACCATATTGAAGAAATACAGCCAAGAGGTGCTTTCCTGAAATACTCTAAAGGGGGGAAAGTCTTTGACAAAAGAATTTCAGTTTACTTTTCAATTCTCATAATAAAATAATCGTATGCTCTGCTATGTTTGGTTGCTAATTGGAAATTTGCTGTGTGGCTCTAGCTGTCATGCTACTTGTTAAAAAGGAGCTTTACTGACAATCCATGCAAGATTATCATCTCCCCCTTCCCCAGCTAAAGGCATCCTCATTTATCATGTAAACAAATTATTTTGGTAGCTCTTGAGGTATTAGCCTAGGCTGCATTCAGAAATCAACCTTACATGTGTGCAAACATGATTAGTTACTGGGCTGGTGTACATCCTTTCTCCTTCCTTTGCACAGAATCCCTGTCAAAAATTAATATCGATACCCTTTGACACAAGACCTTTTTAGTCATTAATACTCTGGCACTCCGAGTCCAGGCTCACTGGGCATACATGCGAATGTACTGAAGCTGGAAAATACATGGACTGACCTAGTCACACAAAATAGCATATAGTATTGGGCATAGCATAGTCTCCCCTTATTGGGTTGGATCACCAAAATCATACTGAGGTGTACAAATGCAGACATGTGGGTTAAACAATTAGTGCTCATCCCACATATTGGGATTGAAACTGATCCATGTTTAGATTCTATTTCTTTTGGCACTAATATTCTGCAGGTTTTGTCATTTGAAAAGGACCCATTGATGCTTGTTTAATACTCAGTTTTTTAAAATAAGCAGTTGAAAATTACATAGGTCAAACAACAGGTTACAAAAATGCCAAAATAGCAACACAAAGCTGGTGTGAGAAACCAGTAACTGCAGTCCATAACCAGAAGTATTATGGCGAGGAACTCCTGAGGGTACACAGGGCGATGATGGTATATGCATCTATGCAGAACAGGCAGAACCTAAACACTGGTAGCCTAACATACTTAAAGGTATTTTATTGTATAAATGTTAATAAAATTTCAGTTTATGAACTTCTGTCTAACATCCTGTACAGGGTTACTCCAGTGTGAGTCTGCTGAAGTTAATGGATTGATACTGGAGTTAACTCTGCATAGTGTATTGTAATACCAAATAGTAAAAAGCCCAGTAGCACCTTTAAGACTAACAAACTTTATTGTAGCATAAGCTTTCAAGAAACACAGATGAAGAGAGCTGTGTTTCTCGAAAGCTTATGCTACAATAAAGT